GAATTTCTTCGATTCGCTTCTTTTTTTTCTCGCTGATTCATGCCGTCTGATCAGACGATGTGACTCAATCTGCAGCGTGAAAAGTCAAGAAACGAATCAATAAATAAACACACGCGGGAAAAGAGAGGACGACAGAGAGGAAAAAAAACGTACGGTTTCATTTTGACAGATTGCAATTTATGTGTAAACAATAGAGGGAAAAACTGTCACACTTGAACGTGGATTTCAGTGAAAACTTGCACCGACGTTTAAAAGACGAGAAAAAAAACCGTCGATTTAAAACACTGAGTGCCAATAGTATTACTATTGTTGAAAAAAAAAATAGAAAAATAACAACAACAACGGCCGAGAAATCGGTTAGGTAATTTTTGTGCGTGTGTCATTTCAAGAGACCGATTTGGTGCTCTGCCTAACAATTGATTCATGTGTGTGTGTGTGCATTTGATTTTTCGCCACTTTCATGCATAATTTACACAGAATTACACCGAAACAAATCGACAATCACAACATAAAATGCTCTGTTTTTTCGATGCCAACGATGAATATCAATTAGTCAACACATTCTGGTTCGCGCACACCGCACCTGATTAAATTGTTAAGCAATGTGACAGATATTTGGATGAAAAAAACAAGTGTGGATTTGTAACGTAATTTGTCGAGTTTGTTGTAGTTCAATGGAGGAAACTTTAATCAGTGAAGGAAAATTTGACCCTAAAATTCAGTCAAGTTGCTAAAATTGAGCGCGAAAATTCGATAAAATCACGAAAAACGGGCGGCAAAATTCGATTGGGTCGCAAATTTAGCAGCAAGAGCTTGGATTTTGATAGCAAATATAATAAATTGAATGAGAATTACAATCTATGGAGAGTCAATTGACAATTTTCAAAAGCAAATCTCGAGTTAGTGAGTAGGGAATGACAGTTTTTATGGTTCAAATAGTGACTTTAGAGATGTAAATCGAAATTTTCGACATTTCAAAAGCAAAAAATGAAATAGAGCGACAAAAAATTGGCTTCAGAATGTTTGGTGTGATAAAAAGCCAGGTTTTTGTTCAAGAAGATCCAAAACCAATTTTTTGTCGCTCCAAAACCAATTGCCAATTCCAGAGGTTTCAATTCGAATTGAGCACAAAGTCAAGAATGTGTGAATTTTTGTTGTCAAGAAAGAACCACTTCAATAAAATTATTGTTATCGTAGTCTGCCACAACAGCAAATAAAAACCCAACAACAATCACAACACCACTTGTATTAAACAGTATCGAACGAACAAAACGAAATGAATGTACATTGTACAGCGAAAGAAAAGCGGTGCTTAACAGGCGCAACAATTTCATAACAATTTTTGTTGCGGTAATAATGAATTAAAGTAAGTATACAAATTAGATGTTGTTTGTGTTTTTTTTTTCGTTAGTTGCGTTTACGGGCAAATAAACAAATGAGGAAAATGCACAGCGCACCGAATACCGTGTTCCACACTCCCTCGCATACGCAAACGCAGGGCAAGCCCATCACGCGCTTGTTAAATCCAATCATGTGGAAACCATGCCAATTGGCTCTCTCCACATACAGCACAACAACAACAAAAAAACAGAATACATAACAATTGAAACAAATGAATAGATTTTTTTCAATTGAAACTGTTAGTTGTGGAACTGTAGATTTTGCATTGGATATTGTCTGATCATTGAACACTTTTTCTATGTTGGAATGAATTGAGTTGAATGGTTTGGATCTGTTTGCAGTTTGAACCATTTGAATTAACCTTTTGACACCTTTTCACACCTTTTGACACCTTCTTGAACCGTTTATTTGCACCGAGCATCAGGTACGGTCCAGCGGTACCAGGTACGGTCCAAAGGTACCTGAACGACACAATTTTCGGTCATAATTCCCACAAAACAGGCTACACTGCTGTTGTTTGTGCACCTTTGACCGTTCCAAAAGTTCAAATACAAACATACATGGGCACGTACATGAACGTACCGAACGTTCAGATAAGATAAGTGTCGTTCGTTATCGTCATTACAACTTATCGACAATTGCAATGATAGTTCATTTTGAGACGAATTTGTGTAGTGTGACGAAAAAACAGGATGAATTGTTCATCTAATTTGTTTGTTACCAGGCAATGATCAAAAGTTGTATGTGGCACCCGGTGACAGTCCATGTGTCGATATGAACATTGAACGATGCTTACCGTAATTGCACGTAATATGTGCCAATTGAGCACATAACAACCGACGAACATTCAATTTTCTACCAATAAAGATACGCATCCGCGCATATTTTTCGAGCAAAAAAATTCGCTAATTTGCCAATTTGCCTGATAAACAATGTGAACCTATATCAGTTGGATTGCACCACAAGTGTTCATCGTAAATCAAATTGTCGATGGACAATTCTCATAGAACAATGATTGCCACTGGAACGGAGGCAAAAAAACACCATTTGTGACTGTGGGAAGTGGCCAGTTAATTTTGTCTAATTTCAAATTGATTGTTACCAAACTCAAGTCATCATTAACATGCACACGGCACATAGTTTCACGCATTTTCATGATTATTTCAGGTTTCAGTGTTTGATTTTATATCTGAACGCGTGTGGCGGGCACTAAATCACACACATTTTAGGCATTCCAATAGAAAATATTGTGATCGCTGATAAGCGATGGGCATGCGCGCACAATTCATCATATATGCAATCTCGCAGACAGAATTGTAAATTGAAAATGCCGCCGCGTTATTATTCATTGAACAATCATATTCAGGCATGATATGTTAGGCCGTTTGTTTTGTGAAGGCTGCACTCGAAGTCGCATGCTAATGCATTGCTCCATACTTTTTCTTTTGATGTGTGTGTGTTTTTTTTCCTCTCATTTCAATCGCAATCATTGTCGTTCGTCTTGACAATTGTAAACAGCCGCCCGTAAATTTTCGTGCATCGCACTTGAACTTGAAACATACGGTTACACGATTTGGCTGGCTACAAAAATCCGTCTACCCGGTGTGCAAACGCGCGCGTCTCTCTCTCTCTCTCTCTCGCGGTGCTTGTATGTGATCTATGCCTCATTCGTTTCGCTTTTTTTCTCATGTTATTTATGTATGCATTTTGCGCACGACCATGTCTCTCGCTCACTGTATTATTCAATTGGCTTAATTTTTCAGTCAATGAAATTTAATTTTGCGTCATTTTTTCTTCCGTGATCCATTCGTCGCCTGTTATCACCAATCCCCGCCCCAAAAATCTAATTGACCCTATTTTTGTACTTAGATGCAATAATATCGACCGATGATATTAATGACTGAACATTGAAGTGTGTGGAGGAGAAAACAACGGGTTTTGCTCTTTAGAAAACAGATTTAAAATATGATGTTTGCTCTTTGTACAGGGAATTCGACGCCTTTCTAACGACGTCTTAATGAAGTTTGCGTCTTTTTTCTAATTGTTCGTCTTTTTAAACAAAAATGCCCTTTACATTCCCTTTGCAAATGAGTTTAGCGATTCCGAAAACTCATTTTGCTCATTCCAAACGAAATTTACTCGTTTGAAGAAAAAGAAACGGACTTTAGAACAGTCAAAGAGCCGAAGAAGCGAAAAGCCGAAGAGCTAAAGAGACGAAAACCCGAAGTACCAAAGAGTCGTAGACTCGAAAAGTAATGCCCACAATGACCTTTATGTCTCGGGCGATCACCTTTGATATGTGAAAGAGACGCATGCGTCTGATCACCTATTGGAACAAAGTATTTTTGCTCGTGTTTCTTCCCTCCAAGTTGATAAGAGAAGGCAATGACAACGTGAAAAATAAAAACGGATTCACAGAAGATTTGATTACAAAATTAAGTCTATTTTTAATCGCCACTGAACTGAAAATGTTTACCAGCGCCGTTATATTTGCTGTACGTATTTGTGTTTGCCAAACTGTCCAAAATCTTTTATCAATAAGATGCGATGCTCTTTGCATTGGACTTGGTGGCGGCGACGAGAACGACGACAACAGCAGCGACGGTGAATAATTTCAGTTCAGTGGCATTTAAAAATGGACCAAATGCTTTTTTGATTCTACTTTTGCTTTCGTGATTTTTTTTTCGGTTGAAATTTTTTTCCATCATTTTTTTTCTTCTTTTTTTAGTTTTTTAAAATTTGTTTGGATTTTTTCTTTGTTTTTCATTTTTTCCAAAACATTTTTACTGATTTGCCTCATTTTTATTGATTCTTCTTCATTTTACTTCTCCTCACACACTGTTTTGTTTACACAAAGTAATTTAAATGTGCAATTGACGCAAAAAAATCGGCGTAAGTCAAATATTTTGAAGAAAAAAAAACGCCTTAACAACAAATCGGTTGAATGTTCTGAAAAGGAAGTAAATTTAAGCCTATTTTTTGTGCAAAGAAAAAAACGTCATAAGTTTTTGCCTGAGCCGTTCGACACCGCTAATTCCAACAACGGGAGGTTAATTATCGGTTGGTCACAAGTCACCTCGAAAAATTGGGAAGTAACAATAATTATCAATTATCATTCTCGCATCGCGAGCAACGCCAGCAAAAACACCGACAAAAATTCGTAACGTGCAAATTGAGACACTCAAAAAACTTGTCTATCTTGAGTGTTTTGACGTTGATAACGACGATTTAAATCGTGACAATACAATAAAATTCTCTATACGACATCAAAAGTGAGGTCTAAAAATACAAAGACCGAACAAAAGAAGCGGATAAAAAAGAGCATACACACGCGCGCGCGTTGCGGTATAAAATGACATAGATTGTGGCAAATGAAAGAAAGTAACGAAAGCGAGAGAGAAAGAGGGAGAGAGAAGAAAAAAAAAACAAAATCAGTGCAAAACGTTGTGCGGTTTGTGTGATTAACTCAGATAACTCTGCTTATTTGACATAATTCAAAGAAGAAATATATCATTCAATGGATAAGATAAAAGAAATTTAAAAAAAAAATACGGCGACTCAAATACATGCTTACAATTTTGAAGTTACAGCTCAGTCTCAGCGAGCTATTGCTCAATTTTCAATGTTTTTGATTGAGTGTGCATTCGTAATTCGGTTAGTGCCGGGATTAATAAACTTTAGCCCACACTTGTGCATTTAATACGCTCGCTCGTTGTATTTTCTTTTTCGGCCAGGTCGTGAGATTTGTAAATACAATTGACATTGACATTGGTGAAACATAAACGAAACAACGAAATAAAAAACAGTAGTTCGATTTAGTAATTTAGGTTTTAACTAATTGATGTTGTGTGCATTGAAATTATGCGGTATAGCGCGATTGCGTGCGCCAGTGTGATCGAATCAAAGTATTCGAAATCGAAATTGATTACACGCTTCAATGGCATCGACGTTTTACGTGCCAGAAATTCTAAATCGCATTCCGATGGTGTAAACAAAAATCACGATCGAGAGCGCGCGCGCGCAAGCACCCGCACTCACCCGCACTCACCAGCACCCCCACTCAATCACCAGCATCGGACCGCCAATTTTTTTTTAGTGTTTTCGAGGCAATTTCTGTGACTGATGACGAATTCAATAGACGAACATTTTATGTGCACCATATGACACACACTAGCCGTCATTGTCGGCCCGACCGAATCATAATTATAATGATTATAATCATCGTCGTCGTCGTTATTATTATTGTCAAATTCTTGGCACACATTTTCAGCATGTGTTCGGCTTTTCTCTCGCTCTATCTTGCTCTCTTTCCCACTATCTCTCTCTCTATTCATCAAACGAACGTAGAATGGACACGGCGAATCACGTTCGTAATTTTCGATTGAACCGAGAATTTTTTCAGCGCTATTACGTTGTATCGAAAAAACGAATTTGAATCAAAAATAAATTAATCCATTTAAAAATTGGTCGGTAGAGGAAAGAATAACAAAAAAAAATTGAATAATCGAGAATGTACTTTAGTTTAAATATTTCAAAATTCGTCATCAACCCATAATATAAACACAATCAAAACAAATATCCGATCGCTTGAAATCATTGTTTTGAACAGTTGGAAATTTTGTTTTGATCCTCATTTTAAACAGGCTGTGACGTGAATTCTAATGCAAACACAGAGTATGGAATTCTCATTATTGGTGCCATTTAAGTGTTTTCTATTTGTTTCTTTTTTTTTCATTTTTTTTACTCTCTGCCTCGAGAACTTTCATCGTCATTGATTTTGGCTTATTCTTTAGTTGAATCCATAATTTTAGTTTTGCTTGTAAGTAGAGAAGCCGAGTGTTTATTTCAAAGAAATTTTTTTCCGACTGGACCTTTAGTTTGGCTTAAAACAATTTTTTTGGCTAAACATTTTGTTTGGCTGTCATTTTTTAATTTGTGTTTTTCTCAAACGTTTCCCAAAATCAGTATCGAAAAAATCGGTTGAAAAATCTTCTAAAATAAAATCGCTTCAATTTTTCCGAAAAAAAATCCTCATCGAAATTTCTCCTTATTGATTTCCATCTTCATATGTACATATATCAGAACAAATGAGGTTCTTCAGTTTGTAAATATTTTCTTATTTGTATTGAAACCAAATCGCGATTTCTATTCATATTACATAATCATTCAAAACGTTTTTGTTTCTCTTGTGTCGTATAAACTCCAACGAAAAAAAAGAAGATTGTTTCTCGCTCCACGTTCAAGTGTCTGCAAGCACCGCTGCAAATACATATATATTATCGAAAGCAAAATCAACACAGACCCGTGCAATTCTAGGTCACTGTGCCAGGCCGCATAATAAATCTATCTCTCGTTCTCTCGTAGAATGCGGCAAAATAATTGAATCAGTTTATTTTATCGTATTTAACGGCGAAACCAAAACGTAGATCAAATCAGTGTGTTGTGGCCTGTATTCACGGGAGCAATCGTTTATAAGCTCAATAAAGAAATCGCAAAAAAGGTGTTTCGCTCGAATAAATTAAACAAAATTACACGTGTTCGTGTTCGTGGAAAATATGTTGTTATAAAATTCGATGCGCAGTTTCATTATGTCCACACGAGAATCGATTCAGCTTTTCCGGATTCTCTGCCAAAGAGTCTCTTTCTCGCACATTTCGTCTATATTCCATTAAGAATCTTAATTTAACACTCTTTTTTGCATATCAATTACGCTTTAGATATAGCATATCAATTTAGTTTCTGCTTTTACTTCACGCAAACCGTATCTCATGCTACTACTGACTTACTGCTACCGCTTCTGTGGTTGCTTCTGCTTCTGCTGCATTGTTGTTGTTGCTAATTTGTTTTTGTTCGTTCGCCATTTATAATGATTTTTATGTGTGTCTGGGTCATATTTTTACATGTTTTTATCATATTTTTCTCGCTATAAATTCTGAATCAAACAAATAAGTGGCGAATGCGATTTTAAATTGGCTACAAAACACACCATTGCAATAAAAAAATAAATCGAAGCCACAAATATTATCGATATTTTGTAGGTAATTGGGTGTGGAGCTGCATGTTTTTCATTTGTTCTACTGTAGTTTTTTTACACTCGTCGGCTTTTTTCGTTCTTTCTACAGCTCTATGGTGCTCAATGGCTTTTTTCATCATTATAAGTCTTTTTTCCATTTCTCTCCCCGTCTTTTTCCTTTTTTCTCCCTATCTCTTCTACTCTTTTTCACTCTCCCTCTCCCTTTTCTCTCTTCTCTCTTCCTTCTCCTCCTCTATTTCTACCGTTCTTCCTCTCTGCTTCCTCTTGTCGTTCAAAATTAAGCAATTACACCGAAAATGTGTGTGATTGTAACAAGTGACAGCAGAAAACCCGTCCAAATATTTGTTAAATGTTTGAGATCATTGAAACAACCACACAAGCAATTCTTTTATCTCTTTTCCTTCAAAATTGGCTTTAATTTGCTTTTTTTGGCTCATCAGAAACCGTCGTGTGTAATCATCAATATTGGACTCGACTTCATTAAATTCCACTTGACTCATTTTCATAAATATGCCTAATAAAATCGTTTATGAGCTTTGTGAATTCGTTTTGTCGACAAAGAAAACGACACTCCCACTCACACACACAAAAATATTTGCATGAATGATCGCATTTAAGGTGATAAAATGACAGCGATAAGATACAATCATGATTTGATGTGTGTAGCACGCAAACGATACGTAAAACCATCATTTACGTGCAAATCATTATAATCATCATCTTCTCTGGCTGTGATTTGAAAAGCACTTAAAAAAACGAACAATCACAGATAATGCGTTTCTTGAATTCATCACGTTTTGTTTGATTTCCGATTTTATCAGAGCGAAAAATAAACGCACAACGAATAAATGCCAAAAGCAGCGCAGAAAATTGAAATTTTAATTGAATCATATGCCTAACTCAAAACTTATATTCACTTCAAAATAAAATAAAAAACACACCGTAATTTAGTCATTTGCATTTTAGCGAGCACATTCGCGGGCAGCGCAATCGATTTTATTGCTTGATATCGACACGTTGAATTGTGAAAATGGTAATTGGATTTCGAGCGGAGCCGTGTAATTTTTCATTCAAATTTCTTTTTTTTTCGAGCCTTTTGAAATTCCATTTGTACTGATTCCGATTTTGATTAGACTGAGAAGAAAATTATACGAAACTACTTTGAGGGTAGCCATAATGGAATCGTTGAGAAATTTCGTTTGAGGAATTCGACAGATATTCCAAGGTTGCAGTGATTAGGCGATAGTATGATACAGCGAAGTTATACGAATTGAGTTGTACACAACACACTCACCAGTCAGAATGCCATACTGTGGTTGCACTGGCTGAAATATTGACATTCTTTTGTTATTTCGAGGGTGGATCGATTGAACAGCTTTATTGACGACAAAGACAGCTAGTATGTGATCCTTAGCTTATGCATGGACAAACAATGTTCGTCGAACATTCTTTGTTCTGAAGCCTGTCGGATCGAAAGTTGTTTCTCCAGGGATTCCCTCGGTTGTAAATCGAGATCAATCTTATATATTTGGGAAGAGTATACAATTGGTGTTTGGCGATTAGCATTCCAAAAAAATGAGATTTGCATTGAGACAACCCAGGAAAGACTAAAAAAAAACTCTTCAGAAAAAATGTTCTTCTGGACATAAGTTAACGTTCCCACACTGCTGTTATGTCTACAATTCCGTTCAATCGACCTACTCTAGTTTTTGAACACTGTGAAGTCCAATCTATCGCAATTTTTTTTCCGCTCTGATCAATTCCTAAACTCGTGATGAAAATCAATTTTCTTTCTCGTAAAATGGATTGAAACAACATTTTTTAAACCATTTTCTCAAATAATCTTATATTCTACGATCAAAAATTCAAATGGATATTCAAATTGCTCCAACTGATTCACTCAACTTTAGTTTTATTTCACTGCATTTTGTAACGTTGTTCAATGTACGTTGTTTCAATTTAAAAAAAAACTACATAAATTTTAATGGAAGAACCGATAAGCAATTCGATCGCTGCCAATAAAACAGCCAAACATGATTTATTGCACTTGAAGTATCGATAATTTGGTCAAAGTGTCACTGCTGAGTCAGATCGCTGATTGATTGGGTCATATTGAACCAAATACATGGTGTGTATTACACGTGCGAGGTACGTTTTTTTTCAAAGGTCATTCTCATATGCCCGATGTACTTTTGATCGAAATTTTTTTTTTACATTGTAGGGAAATGATCGTAAATTTACTATCAATTTGTTCAAATTTATTGAGCTGTCATCGTAAATTAGTCATATTCATATGTGTTTTTCTACGTTATTATAATGGATTGATCCTTAATTTATTTTTCATCTGTTGCCTCTTGTTTTCTCTGTCAATGTGAATTTATTTTCATTACATTTTATGATCCTTCGTCATCTGACGACAGTTTCCCTAGAGGAGTCTGTCCGAATTCTCAAAAAAAACATCCTGATCTTTTGGTTTTTATTTATTTATGGATTTTTTTCTAGTGTCCATAAATCAAATCAATTTCTCCAAGTTCCAACCTTCCAAATCTTTATTTGCAACTAAATATTTATCCATTTCTTACCGATCATTTGTTTTTTCCTGCAAAATTTACGATTTCTCAACTTGAAAATCTCAAACACATGGTAGAAAATGATTTAATGTTGGTCAATTCGATTTAAATTGATTCAAAAAAATTACTTAATGCATTTAGCAGATGCAATTATTGAACTGAATTGTAAACAAACAAAATTCAATAATTCCATTGGTTACTTGATTCGAACGGAATTGTGCAACTGATTTGTGTGTATCAATTCGATTGAAATTCAATTGATTCGTGTAAAATGTCGTGGAATGTCGAAGCTATTAGCAATTTCAATTGATGAAATTTTCATCAATTGGTCATTGTTTAAACCACCTGCAATATGCCAAATGTATTAACGACAATTCCAATAGAAAATTTCAACAAATCAAATCCGAGTGTCTTTTATACATACACCGTTCAATATTCGAATCGAGTGGTTTTCCAACTTGGAAGAGTGACGCATTTTGAAGGGAAAACGTTCTTCGGCTTGAAAATTAAGACGTATATGCAGTGATTGCGATATCGCTCTCAGTATCTCATAGGATAACTGAACGAGATAATTCAGCTGGCTGAGATGATGCAGCGACGCATCGCCCGAGTCCATGGCCCGAGTCTTTGTGATACACACACACTATTCGATGCCGCGCATCACTAAATGGGACTGAGTGTATACGGATGCCGCTGAGCGCATTGTGTGTATATATATCGCACAGACTCGAGCGATGTGTAGCTGCGTCATCTAAGCCAGCTGAATTATCTCGTTCAGTTATCCTATGAGATACTGAGAGCAATATCGCAATCACTGCGTATATGTCTCATCTGTGCTATAACATAGCTAGAATATCAAAATTTCAACGGTCAGAAGTCTTGTTTTGAAGAAAAACGCATGCCTGAGAAAATATCCAGAAAAAGAGTGGAAAATAGTTACATTTTACCTTCTATGAAGGCTTTGATTCGAATGAGATACAAGTCCAAATACTTTCTTTTTTTTTTCAATGAAAACACAAAAAAAAACCTATCAAATCATATCTAACCAATTTTTTTCCTTCAATTTCAGTATCACTTCCAACAGCCCGTACAATTGACGAGAAGGCAAACAAAAAAAAAACTTCGATTAAAAACCCAAAGGTTTCTGTGATAGAGACGCTGTGAGCAATTAAGCGCGAAACGAAGAAAAAAAAAGAAGCTCAACAACAACAACCCAATCACAATGGCAATGAAAGAGCTACTATATCGAATGCAACCGATGCAAATCTACATCGTGCTTGCGCTGTCAATTGTCTATTTTCTTATGCAATTATTTCTGAGTCACATAACTCATTCGCTCACACTGCTGGTCGCTTCGTATCATATGTTGTGCAACATAGTTGCGCTCAGCGGATGCATAGTAACAATAAAGGTATGGTTTTTGTTGCCTGGTGCACTTTTTTTTCCCTGCTCTCTCACACTCTCTTTAGTTCAGTAGAGGTAAAAAATAAAGTTTAATGTGAAAATGGTCAAAAGTTTAGTATGGCAGCGGTTGAATGTGTTTAATACAATGCCGCTGATCATTGAACATGGTCAATAGACTGGTCAAAACTGAACGAAAGACACAGAGATAGTGTGTGCAATGTGCATATTAACCGATATTTTGATCACTTCCGCTATTAACCAATACCGTTTTTTTTCTTTGATTTTAGCAACGACACGAGCCTTCGTTACGTAACACATTCGGCTGGATGCGCGTTGAAATCCTCACAATGCTGATAGCTGGCATATTTTTGGGTGCATTTTGTTTTTCATTAGTGGTAGAAGCGGTACAAACGCTCATCCACATTGATCATCAGGATGCGATGCATCGACCGGTGGCCATACTTCGACTTGGCGTCGGCGGTCTCATACTGAATCTATTTTGCTACTTGTTGATCGGCGGCTATACGTATCATCAGGGCAGTTTTATGCATATTACATCAACGGGCGATGTGGTGCTCGATCAAATGGGCAACGATGAGGGTGGACTGCACCGCAGTGAACAATACTCGTCGAAAACAAAACACAGTGGTAACGGCCAAAGTAACGGTGTCATACAATGTACCGGATCATCCATTCAAATTGATGTGCCATCATCAGCTTCCGTTCAGTCGATCCCAACCACTCAATTCACATTGCATAGACATTCGTTCCGTGAACTCATGCGTGATATCAGCAGTACGTAACGGTTTTAACTTTTTGTATTTTTATTTGCCGATTAGCCAGTTTCGCTCGTTTTCGACGACAACCACATTCAATGATCGCACTTTTTTTCTTTCGCTTTAACCAAAATCAAACATTTTCGATCGTTGTGTACGTAACCATTTTGCATGCAATCAGACGAGCTCAATTGACAATGATTACAAAATTCAATAGAAACACACACACACACACACACACCGTGCAAAAGACGTAGACAATTGTAACTATTTTTGACTTGTTTTTTTCCAAACAGGCACATTGTTCGTGATAATTTGTTCAATTATCGTGTATTTTGCGGACAATGAAAGCGTTACCAAGTATGTTGATCCATCTATCTCAATTGTCTCGGGCATCACGTTACTGATGCTTAGCTACCCATACAGTAAGTACATTCAGAGTTTTTTTTGTCGTTGTCACAGTCGGTGCGGCATTGGTTGATTCGAAGCGGTGTCTGTCCATCGGCGTGGATTGGTCAAATGAATTGATATCGATAGACGGTAATGATGAGAGTGAAAGAAAGAGAGAGAAAGAGCGAGAAAGAGAGATAGAGACCGAGATAGTGATAGAGAGAGAGAGAGAGAGAAAAGGGAAGCATAAAAAAGAAAGGGTATCCGGATAAAACACAGAAAATAAAAACGCAGAAACGACAAAACGCAGAAAAAAAAACGCAGAAAAAAAACACAGAAAGACAAAACGCAGAAAAAAAAACACAGAAAGACAAAACGCAGAAAAAAACGCAGAAAAGACAAAACACAGAAAAATGAAAAATTTGATTTTTGACTAAAATATTGGGTAAATGAGGGTTCTTTTGGGTTATTTTTCCGAAATAATGGCATTTTATCTTGGTCAAAACCTCGAATAGTGTATTTTTCTGGTACCTCACATACATTACATTTACACTAGCATTTAGGACAACAACAAAGAGAGAGAAAGAAAATAAAAGGACAAAAACCATTATTCATAAGACAGTGCAACATTTTTTCGGTCATCGATGCGGGCATAAGTTTTGAGTATCACTGCTGAAAGTACTTACCAAAACTAGAAATTCTGCATCATTCGTTTTGCCAACTTGGCTACCTTTTTCATTTTATGGAATTATGTATTTTTGGCTCAAACTGGATTTTGAGCACTTTTTCGACATTTTCACAAGGTTATATCTCGGTGAACCGTAAGGAATATTGTTTTTGTGTCTTGAGCAAAGTTGTAGGTATTGAATGGGAGGAAAAAAATGCTTACCCAAAAAACGCCATCTTACCCAAAATCGCAAAAGTGCCCATTTTTTACCATTTTTCAACCATAACTCGCAGCGTATCCTATTTTTACACCCTTATTTTTCAGCTAAGAACATCAGCTTTAAAATGCCATACCGCTTAAACTGAAATATATCATCTGTCATGGTCTAATCTGCCTCAATGTACACCACAACCCCAAAAAATGGTCCCAAAAGTCAAATTTTTCACTCATATACATTGAAAAACATCTTTAAAAATTACTCAATATTGGTACAGATAATATAAGCTTGAATGTACTGTTTTTTTTATATTTGAGAGGAAATAAATTCATTTTCATGGAAAAAATTTGGTTTTTGGACCAATTTTTGGTGGTTTGGTGAACATTGAGTCATGACAGATATAAATATATATCATGACAGATGATATATTTCAGTTCAAGCGGTATGGCATTTTAAAGCTGATGTTCTTAGCTGAAAAATAAGGCTAATGCCACATGCCTGTGACGTCTGGTTGGGCACTTATGGCTGCTCAAGTGATAATTAGTGCCAAAATAATGCAAAAAGTCGACATGTCATCACTTGGGGAGCCATAACTTTGCAACTGGACATCATAGGTGGATCGTATTGGCCTTATTGTTTAGCTGTGAACATAAGCTTTAATATAGCATACATTAAAAACTGAAATATGGCTGTTGTCATGACTTCATTTGGCCAAATGTCCACCAAACGCTCAAAAATCGGTTCAAAACTCGAAATTTCCCTTCAAATGAGTGATTTTTCCCACTAAACTAGCTTGAAAACGAGTTTACGTTATCCGCAGAGACACTTTAGCGAAAATAAAAGCGTAAAATATGGAAAGATATACAGATATTTGCATGTAAAAGGCCAAAATTCACAACAAAATGACCATTTTTGGTACCAAAGAGTGATTTTGAGCCAAAAAGGTAGATAGAACATGATTTTTCTGGGTTAGTATGTTGAGCAAAGTTGTCCAATTATACGTTGGCTACAAAATTGCTGAATACAAAGGCCATAAAAATAGGATACGCTGCGAGTTATGGTTGAAAAATGGTAAAAAATGGGCATTTTTGCGATTTTGAGGCCCTAGATGCATTTTTTTGGGTAAGTTCGTTCTGCATTTTTTTTCTCCTATTCAATACCTACAACTTTGCTCAGACACAAGAACAATATTCCCTACGGTTCACCGAGATATAGCCTTGTGAAAATGTCGAAAAAGTGCTCAAAGTCCAGTTTGAGCCAAAAATACATAATTCCATAAAATGAAAAAGGTAGCCAAGTTGGCAAAACGAATGATGCAGAATTTCTAGTTTTGGTAAGTACTTTCAGCAGTGATACTCAAAACTTATGCCCGCATCGATGACCGAAAAAATGTTGCACTGTCTTATGAATAATGGTTTTTGTCCTTTTATTTTCTTTCTCTCTCTTTGTTGTTGTCCTAAATGCTAGTGTAAATGTAATGTATGTGAGGTACCAGAAAAATACACTATTCGAGGTTTTGGCCAAGATAAAATGCCATTATTTTGGAAAAATAACCCAAAAGAACCCTCATTTACCCAATATTTTAGTCAAAAATCAAATTTTTCATTTTTCTGTGTTTTGTCTTTTCTGCGTTTTTTTCTGCGTTTTGTCTTTCTGTGTTTTGTCTTTCTGCGTTTTTTTTTCTGCGTTTTGTCGTTTCGGCGTTTTTATTTTCTGCGTTTTATACGAGAATCAAAAGAAAGAGAGGAAGGTATAGCGAAAAATTTAACACAATTAAGCAGAAATCAGTCAATGGAATCGAACTTTTATCTCTCGTTGTTGTTCTCTTAGTGACTTTGTGCCCATCGATGTAACGAACGTTCCGAGAATTGTTAATTTGGCCGAAACGTTTTGTTCACCGTGTCAACACATGATTTACATTCAACATTCAATTTATGTTGATTACCGGTGTGTCCATCATCGAAGTCGATTCATTTGACAGCAATCAATAACGATATCACCGCCACATACACCGATTGTGTTGAACAAATATTTTTTGCCAATGAACCCAATTCTATTGCCACCAACTAAGGAATCGCATCGAATTTTAAATCCAACTAAAGAAAATCGAAATTTTAACCTATTTTCTTTGCCTACCTTTTCCAGTGAAGGAATCGTGTTTAATATTGCTGCAAACAATTCCGGACTCCATTGACATTGAAGTGTTCAAAGCCGATCTATTGAAACGTTTCGATGACATCGTCAACGTTCATGATCTACACATTTGGCAACTTACATTCAGCAAATATGTGTCCACCGTGCACATTTTATTTCATAATCCACACGTAAGCATCAACTGAAATGGAATGACATTATTCGGACATTTTGGTGGAATGGCCGAAATCAGGGTCTCTTGAATTACATTGCATTGAATGGGTTAAAGACTTTTCTTTGCTTCGTCCATTTTCGGATCGATTGTTTTGGATCGAAAGCAAAAAAGGAAAAAAACAAAACAAAAGAGATAAAATTGCTGCTGATTTTCAATCGAGACAAAACGTTCAGCTTTCATTGCTTTTTTTGGATTTTCTTGAAAATTTTCCAAAATAAACAAAGTTCGCGGAAATTTTCAAAATGAAATTTCAATGAAAATTAACCAAAACGTCTTCAAATGTCTTCTTCCATTTCCCAGTTTCATCAAATCAAATGCAAAAGTTCGAAACTCAAACAATCAAGCTAATTTTTCGCAATTTTCTCTGCTTTTTCAGGTTTATGTGAAAATCAAAGATGATGTGGAGAGTTTCTTCCATGCCCAGGGCATAACAATAGTGACGATCCAGCCAGAGTTCAGCACAAAATCGGCGGACAATGAGAAGGACAGTGGATCGTTGAAGCAATGTTTGATTGGTTGTCAGAGTATTGAATGTGCGCCAAAGACGTGTTGTTCAACGAATGATCTCGATGCAATCCTAGTGGGTGATGAAAAGAAGAAGAAGAAAAAGTCGAAAAAGTCGAAATATGATCGAAAATCTAGTTCGATGGTTAGCCTGAATGTGAACTCGTTGGCAAAATTGCGAAAACTGACTGGATCCACGCAGGAAATAATCAAAAAGAGTGTCAGTGAATCGCATGTGACCCAAATTTGCGATGACAGTATGGATTCACAGAATACATCAACAAATCCATCGACCGCACCATCGATGGCCAATAATTTAAATGCAATTGACGAACTCAAAGAGAAGGAATTTCATGAGCAATGCGATGAGCGCAGCGAACAACGGCTACCACCAACTGAACCACAATCACAACCACCAAAGATCGAATCAAATGCCGAACACGAAGATTCAAGTCTACTCTCACGTAAAACGGCAACGGAGGCGACACCATCAACAACTCAAGACCAGTCATAAAATTAAAAACATCACATTTTCACTCTCGTCCAGTATTTCTTTCTTTTTTGTCCGTCTTTTGTCCAAGTGCCACATGTATCAATTTCATTGATACGTGCCCCGATTTCACTCTATTTCTTCTTCTTTTCTTTCTATTCGGTTTAAACACCACATTCATATGAAAATACTAAGACTGACCCTGATTCTCTTTGATTGAACATAGAAAAAAAAACACCGTCACATCAATTGAGAACCAATGAAATAGTTGAACTGTTATTATTCTACACAAGGTTTTTGTTTTTTGCTTATGAAAAGTAGTCATTTGGATGTGAATTAAGAAATGAGGTTGTGTGTTTAGGCTTATGAAAATAGATTATATGAACCAACAAGAAAGTAGACATTTTGTAGTTGAATCGAAGCGAAGCAGCAGAAGAATAAAAAAGAACAACACAAGAATTCTCTTTGATGCACACTATGTGTGAAAAGTGAATAAGCCATATCAATATGCCAAAATTTTGTATTATTTGTTAAGTGACGATGCGAATGAGATGAAAAAAAAGATTCTATAGTGTGTATAGTGTTTTTTTTTCTTTGCTAGTTAAGGAAAATTCGTTTTATAAATTTATATGAAACATTTATCTTCTCTTTAGTTTTTTTTTTGTGAATAAACGACGACCAATGTGTACTTTTACACTGAACCAAACAAAAATACAATAAATTCGAATATGTAAGACAAGAATAGAGTTTTTTTTAAATTGTATATATAAGAATTTTTTTTACAGGAATTTCTCGCTCTTTTCTCATGAGACTTTAATTCTTTGACGACTCTTTTGGCAATTACGATCGCTGCGGCAGACATTGTACTCTAAAGTTAAACTGCAACATACTTGGTATAAATGGGTGACCACTGACCATTTAGGAACGTCGTATAGATTAGTGTTCCAATGTATGGTGCAAGCCGATTACCAATTTTATCACTCTATCAAGCATAAGAAGACCGGTACCAGTGATTGAATTTCAATCATCAAAATGTGAAAATTTTAGGACTACCAGGTAAGGAAAATATGTTATTCGATTGAAAATTCTGGCGTTAAAATTTGGGGTATCAAGCATCACCCGTTTCTTGAAAAATGAATTGTTGGCCTATGTTTGCTTTGAAGAACAATTTCTTCATCGATATTTTACCACTCAGAGTGAAGTAAATTAAACCACACGAATGTTCAAATAGTCAATTTACAAACAATTTAACAAAATTGAACTTCTCTACTTCGTTTAATTTTCGGAGATTAGAAGAAATTAATTTGAGTGAAAACCACTTGCCGCGATTGAATGGTCTTGCTAAAGATTCATATCCAAGACTCGCAAAATTGAATATCACGAATAATGATTTGAATTGCACTTACATATGCATTTCAGAAAAGATTGGAAAGGACAAGACATAATCGGAGATGCGTGCGGTCATTTTGAAAACCTACCGTTCACTACTCTTTCTTAAGCAGAAAATGATAAATAAGCTCAAGCCGAATCCACAATTGCTCCAGAGACATCCGTGTCAAGTTCTTCTTCTGTTGTTTCGTATGCCGTTTCGATCGGTGCATCTGCTTTAATCATCAATATTGTAGCCGTTGTTGTCTTCCTTCGTCGGAAATCGTCTTCGCAAAATAGCGAACAAATGGACGTTTCCAATCGGCGAAATATCAATGGCGATGAGCCACAATCAGAGCCAGAGTCAAATCCGGAAGATCATATTTACGAGGAAATCGAAGAAATTGATCAATCGAAATCGTGGAACTCAACCTTAAAACGTAATTTACATTTTTTGCATCACTTCTGTTTTACGTACTTACAATTTTTACACTTTATCTTTTCAGAGTTGCGAAAATTCGGGCCTTTCAAGCTTGTTAGATGGGCTGCTCATCTTTCCAAATTATCAAATCAACACAACTTTATTTTAATATAATGACATTTTGTATTCACCAATGACATTCGCCATAGTGAGCTATAACGAGTGCGCGCTGCGCGTCCGTGATAGTTCGAACAGTAAAATTATGGCACATTGCACTCAGCCCCCAGGTGATGTTCTTTTTTCTATCAAATCAATATTCATAGAGGCGGTTTAACAAATCGAAGCTCGTGGACATCATTTGCTCGTTTTTGTTGTAAGCAGTCCTTGTTCGACATTATATCCCCAAAAACGCACCGAAATATTGTATTTGTCTGAGTTTAATTCATAAATGGGATCGAAATAGCTCAGCAATGACCTTAAGTCTCCATTTAAAAAACCATTAAGGGAGCATTTTGTGTTTTTGTTTTGATTTTGATCACTTTTCATTGCTTAGTTTTTCTTCGTTTTCTCAATATTATTTCTTAAGCTGCCAAACTTGTTTGGTTTTGCTACTTTTTTTCCTTACATTTTCAAACCTCAATAGATGCTAGTTAACAAAAAAATACTTCAATCATTACATACATATATCTGATACCCTGAAAGAAAGAGCTAGAGTTAAACTTTTGCGAAGTTTTTCTAAAACTGATGAGACAGAGAAGGCTTTGTGGAAAAAGACACAAAAAAAATCATGAGTTAAAGTAGGGCTCAATATTGAGTAGAAATTAGAAAAAAAACGCATTTTTCTATTGCTAAGATTTCTCATAAGTTTGACTCTTACTCAAAGTAAAGCAACTTTCAGTATGTCAGATATTTATCAACCATTTATCAACCATTAAAATATGTACAATGAAAAGTGTATACTTAAAACAGTGCTAATAAAACATTTATTTAGACTGAACTCTGTGTTATCATCTAAAAAAAAACGACTACGATCATTCAGTTGCAAACGAATGCCATTGAATCATAGGAGAGACGGAGAAAGTGTCCAAAAACTATCCTAAATTAATTCTACTCGTGAGATGTGAAAGAATGTATGTTTTTTCAGCCTTTTTTCAAGCGTGGATTACGAGTATTTGAAATGAGATAGCATAAAAAAGCCTTCAGCAATGTTGTAGAACACCACTAATACCACAACTAGTTAAACTGGTAAAAACCTAAGACAATTTTTTGTTATCTCATTTCAGTTACTCGTAATCCACGCCTGAAAAAAACGCTGAAAAAACATACGTTCTTTTATAACTCACGAATAGAATTATGAGATTTGTATCAATAAAAAAAGAACATTCCCATAAATTGGACACTTCAACAAATGAACATAATTGAGTGTGTTTCATTTTTCAAAAGAGACAATTTATTCCCCAGAAATTTGCAACGTTTTTTCTCATCACTTTTCCTTTTTTTCTCCGAAGAAGCTTCAGTTACACTAGATTTCCCTATGATAAACAGAAACTGAGGAAGAAGTCATACAAAACCGAAATGAAAAACATTCAGTCAATTGTAATCAACTAAACCCAAAGGTCATTTTTTTTACTAACGAACCGAAACACAGTAAAATAACGAAACATAAGTTAATGCTATTGTTCCGTCTCAATTGCTTCTTTATTTCAATTTTCCTCCTTCAAGTTTAAATGAATGCATTGATTTGTATGCCTTTTTTGAAAAATTCATTCATTTCAGAGTATTTCGACTTTTGGGCATTTTTTGGGCAAATGATGAAATTTGGCATTGTATTCACTTTGATTTTCGTTGAAATCACTGAATAATTTCATCACAATCGCTCAGTAAGCATTGACTACTGGCTATCATAATGAATTCAAAAGTTCTCTATAGAAATATATCCGATTTATGTTTCTTTATAAAAACCATGGATATTTTATGACGTTTTCAAATTTGCCTGAATCAACAATAGAAAATATATAAAATAAATATGAACAAAACATTTAGTTTCGAGCAAATTTTAATGAAAAAAAATTCATTGAAAATTATTTTAGAATCATTTCAAATGAAAATATCAATCGAATAACATTTGAATTTAAATTTCAGCGCCACATCATTGAAAAGATAGAAAACATCGCATGACAGTTGTCGTTGCGCCGCCATGTTCTTCTTTTATTCGCTGTATTTGCTTCATTCTGTGTCTATCTTCGTCTTTCCCGTTCGTTCGGCGTATTTAGTAATTCTTGGATATTGTCGCATATACCGCAGTGCCGCTAACATAAAACAAATGATTCCAAAGAACGCAGCGTTGCGCGCGTGTGTGTGTGTGAGTTTATGTGTTGTTGTTTTCCTCTTTGAATTCAGATTCGAAACGATGGGTTGCGCCGCATAGACAGAGACATCAGTGCGACAGAAGACATACAAGCAGAAAGACGAGTAGAAAAAAATCGATTTCGTGTTTGGACGTGACAAATCTTCAAAAAGAAGAATCAAAAAAGGAAGCAAAGTTTTTTTTTTCTTACAAACGAAATTTACAGTAAGTGTAGTGTGTTGATTGAGTAAATTGGAATGAGTAGCGAATAAATATTCGTTAAAAAAATGAATTTTGTTTGTGAAATTGTGTATTAATTTGCCACACCCAGGTTAATAGTTGAGTCGAAATCGGAATAGAAGTGAAAGAAATGTAATTTCACTTGGTGCGTTTGTGTTGCGTATTCTCTACATTTTCTAAAAGAAATTCAAACGTGAAAGTCTCAAATGCAAAGTGTATTAATTTGCTACAAAAAAAAGAATGATTTCATTTGATGGACGTGAAAAAAAATCGTTGGCATCAAAATTATGTCATTCCAATTAGAACTTCCAGATTGTTTGAAACAAGCGAGAAAAAAAAAAAATAATCCATGGAGCCATTGAATTGATGATGAAGAGAAGAGAAAAAAAAACATGATGGCTACCCGCTATATACACAAGTATACGTTCATACCATTTGTATTCTATTTTCGATGTGATGACGTAAGCCTTACGGTTGTATGTGCGTGCTATGCCTATGCTTTGCGTTGCGTGCACACAAGGCCTTAGCTGTTGGTGTGTGCACGGAATACGAGAGATGAGAATGTATAAAATGAAAACAAATAAAAAAAGAAGAGAGCGATGAAGAGAAAAAAAACGAACGAAATAACTGAATCGAAGCATTCCAGTGCGGCATTTCGATTACAAATAGCCACAACAAAGTATAGAGAGGAAAAGAGTGTGTAAGAGAGAGCGGGAGAGAATGAGAGGGCTAGAGCGCGAAAGAGAGAGAGACAAAAATCGTATGAACTCATCATCGCTTGAATTACGTGCTCAGAGCGCAGCTAAACATAGAAACAAATTTTTTAGTTGGATATCCGTTTGTACGAATATAGTAATAGAACTGTATGGTTTTTTTTTCATTCACGTGCAATCAAATTGAACGTTGAAAAAGAATAGATTCACACTCACACTCACACACACAGGCCTATCGATTGGAATGATAATTTGTTCCTCATTTTTGTATGTCTCCGACATGTTTCGTTGATCTCACTTTTTACATTTGAGCCGTTGTAAGTTGTATATTTAAATGTTTCAAGTGCTCAATTGACGCATTCCAGACACAAATTACCGATCGACCTCTATACCTCAATACACGGGCAAATTCGTACGTTTTAGTTAAGTTGGTTGTTTTTTTTCCATCGGTGTGCGATGTGTTACAAAATGATTATGTCAGAAATGATGATTTGAAGGCGTTAACCATCGCCACTGAATGTGATCAATTATGCTTATTGTGTTTGTTCCCAGTCAGAAGGGAAAAAAGAGTCATTTGTATTCGTTTCGATAAGATTAAATAGTACACGGTCGAACATTTTTATTATCATTTCGAAGCGATTTTCATGATAACATTCTTTTGAAATTACTCACGACCATCGAATTTCACCTTATTTTTTATCAAACCCAATTCCTATTTTTTTTTTCAACTATCTTTCTACTGCTCCTATTTTTTTCTAGTTGAAAGAGAAACAAAAAGAAAGAAAACGAGACGCGTCTAGAAAATTACAACAAGGAAGGAACTTTTCACACGAAATCGAATCGAATTACAAAACAGTATTTTGCACCGACTACGACATATTTAAGAATTAAGGTGAGTAGAACGAGAGAGGGAGAGAGAGAGAGAGAGAGAGAGAGAGAGAGAGAGAAAAGAAGAAGAAGAAATGAGAAGCAGTGATATAGAATGAACAAATACCCCCAAAACTGATCTAAAAATGAAAAAAAGACATAGAGAGAGAAAGATAGGAAGAAAAAGAGAAAAAAAGAGAAAAAAAGAGTCTTTAAACCAATTGCCAAAAAATGACTCCAAAAAAATCCGTTCCAAATCCACTATATCCGTTACTAACTCGCATTCCATTCAATTTTTCTTCTCCAGCTATAGAAAAGTACTACCAACTATGGATCAATTCGCGCCAAAAGAAGTGCGTATCCTCGAGACTGTCGAAGACATTCAGGAGCGACGTGAACAAGTGTTGAATCGTTACAATGAATTCAAAGTGGAAACGCGTCAGAAGCGTGAAAAATTGGAAGATTCACGTCGTTTCCAATATTTCAAGCGTGATGCTGACGAGCTGGAGAGTTGGATTCAAGAGAAATTGCAAGCGGCCAGCGAAGAGAGCTACCGTGATCCAACAAATTTGCAAGCAAAAATCCAAAAGCATCAAGCATTCGAAGCTGAGGTGTCGGCACACAGCAATGCCATTGTCAGTCTTGACAATACCGGACAAGAAATGATAAGCCAACAGCATTTTGCATCCGAAACGATTCAACGACGCCTTGAAGAATTGCACCGTTTATGGGAGTTGTTGTTGTCACGTTTGGCTGAGAAAGGCTTGAAATTGCAACAGGCTTTGGTTTTGGTGCAATTTTTACGCCATTGCGAAGAAGTGATGTTCTGGATTAAAGACAAAGAGGCCTTTGTGACAGCCGATGAATTCGGACAAGATTTGGAACATGTCGAAGTATTACAACGCAAATTCGATGAATTCCAAAAGGATATGGCATCGCAAGAATATCGCGTCACTGAAGTCAATCAATTGGCCGAAAAGCTACTACAGGATGGACATCCCGAACGTGACACAATCAACAAGAAGAAAGATGAATTGTTTGAGGCATGGCAACGACTCAAACAGTTGGCCACTTTGCGTCAGGAGAAACTGTTTGGCGCTCACGAAATTCAACGCTTCAATCGCGATGCCGATGAAACCGTCGCATGGATCGCCGAAAAAGACGTCGTTTTGTCATCCGACGACTATGGCCGTGATTTGGCCAGCGGTAAGCACAGTTTTTATTGGATTTTTTGTGGGAAGAGGGAATTGTAGAGATCGAATGGAGAATAGAAACTCAGAAGTTTGTTCTTAATTGAGAGACATTTTTGGTGTTTTCTTCATTGCTTCACTTTTTTGGGCTTTGAGATCCGCTTTTTTATCCATGATTTTTAAGCGTTGGCCGAATTGTCTGCCATTTAGAGAAGTTTCTCGTTGAGGTAATTTCAACTTTTGTTGAAATCATCGTTAAATTTGTCGAATTTACAACAAAATTCATGAAATTTACTTAAAACTTCATCAAATTCTACTTCAGATTCAAAGATTTGTCTTCATTTCATTCAAACAAAATGCAATTTTCTTCAATTTTCCATTGTATTTCGTCATTTTTCTGTCATTTTGTTTCAATTTGGTCTGAAATTATTCATCAATATCCTTCATTTATTCACATTCTTCGGAAATTTCCACGTTTTTAGGAGAATCCCACAATTTTTTTTCGTAATTTCAATCAAAATTGAAGCGTTTTTTCATCATTATTCCATCTAAAGAATACAAAAATTGACGAATTTTACCCACTTTCGTCACTTTTCTTCACATTTTTCATCATTTCTTCTACAAATTGTCTCATTTTCCCCCAAAATTTCCACCAATTTCTCTCGAATGTCCAACTTTTGTCATGAAACATCACAAAAAATATGAATTTACCATCCGTTCAACTAATCGAATTCTTTTTTCTCCATTTCCCCCGTTCATTCAGTCCAAGCATTGCAACGCAAACACGAGGGTGTTGAACGTGATTTGGCCGCACTCGAGGACAAAGTATCAACATTAGGCGCAGAAGCGAAGCGTTTGTGTGACATTCATGCGGATCACAGTGACCAGATTCGTGAGAAGCAATCGGAAATCGCCGCCTACTGGCAATCACTAACCGCCAAAGCAAAAGAGCGCAAACAGAAGCTCGATGAATCGTATTTCTTGCATCGATTTTTGGCGGATTTCCGTGATTTGGTGTCATGGATCAACGGTATGAAGGCGGTCATCTCGGCCGATGAATTGGCCAAGGATGTGGCTGGCGCTGAAGCTTTGCTCGAACGTCACCAGGAGCATCGTGGTGAAATCGATGCACGTGAGGACAGTTTCAAAATCACCACCGAAGCCGGTCGCCAATTGTTGGAACGTCAACACTACGCTGCCGCTGAAATCCAAGAGAAATTGGCCGCTTTGGAAAACGACAAGAGTTCGTTGTTGTCATTGTGGGAGGATCGTCGTATCTTGTACGAGCAATGTTTGGACTTGCAATTGTTCTACCGTGACACAGAACAAGCCGACACATGGATGGCAAAGCAAGAAGCCTTTTTGGCCAACGAAGATTTGGGCGATTCGCTCGATTCGGTCGAAGCATTGATCAAGAAACACGAAGACTTTGAGAAGAGTTTGGCCGCACAAGAGGAGAAAATCAAGGCACTTGACATTTTTGCCACGAAATTGATCGATGGCCAGCATTATGCAGCCGATGATGTTGCTCAACGTCGTGCCATGTTATTGGCACGTCGATCGGCATTGTTGGAAAAATCGGCAGCACGTCGTCAATTGCTCGAAGATTCCAGTCGATTCCAGCAATTTGAACGTGACTGTGACGAGACCAAGGGATGGATCAGTGAAAAATTGAAGGTGGCCACCGATGACAGCTACTTGTACCCCACCAATTTGAATGGCAAAGTGCAAAAGCATCAGAATTTCGAGCAAGAGATCAACGCCAACAAGAGTCGCATCGAAGACATCACCGCCACGGGCACCGATTTGATTGAAAAGAAGCACTACGCAGCTAATGAGATCAATGCACGCATGCAAGAGATCGTTACATTGTGGGAAACGCTCGTCCAAGCCTCCGACAAAAAAGGATGCAAATTGCAAGAGGCCTCCCAACAGCAGCAATTCAATCGCACCATCGAAGACATTGAATTGTGGTTGAGCGAAATTGAGGGTCAACTCTTGTCCGAAGATTATGGCAAAGATTTGACCAGCGTACAAAATTTGCAAAAGAAACAAGCATTGCTCGAAGCCGATGTGATGGCCCATCAAGATCGTGTCGAAAGTATCAAAGTCACGGCCAACAAATTCATCGAAAGCGGACACTTTGACTCCGACAACATTCGCAACAAAGAGGAAACGTTGACCAAACGTTATACCGCCCTCGCTGCACCAATTTCCGAGCGCAAGAAGCGTTTGACTGATTCGTTGCAAGTGCAGCAGTTGTTCCGTGATTTGGAGGATGAAGCGGCTTGGATTCGTGAAAAGGAACCGATTGCCGGTTCGACAAATCGTGGCCGTGATTTGATCGGTGTGCAGAATCTCATCAAGAAACATCAAGCCGTTCTGGCCGAAATCAATAATCATGAAGGCCGTTTAGCCGGCGTCGTTGCATCCGGCGAACAAATGCTCGAAGAGCAACCATACTCAAGCGATGAGATTCGTTTGCGTCTCGATTTATTGAAAGAACAATGGGCATCGTTGAAAGAAAAGGCCAATCAACGTAAACAAGATTTGGAAGATTCATTGCAAGCCCATCAATACTTTGCCGATGCAAACGAAGCCGAATCATGGATGCGTGAAAAGGAGCCGATTGTATCGAGCCAAGACTATGGCAAAGACGAAGATTCATCGGAAGCATTGCTGAAGAAGCACGAAGCATTGGTATCCGATTTAGAAGCATTCGGCAATACGATTCAATCGTTGCAAGAGCAAGCGAAAAATTGTCGCCAACAAGAAACCCCCGTTGTGGATATCACTGGAAAAGAATGTGTTCAAGCCCTTTACGATTATACGGAAAAATCGCCACGCGAAGTATCAATTAAGAAAAATGACATTTTAACACTGTTAAACTCGAACAACAAGGATTGGTGGAAGGTTGAGGTGAACGATCGCCAAGGATTCGTGCCAGCCGCGTACATCAAGAAAATCGATGCCGGACTCAGTGCCAGCCAGCAAAATTTGGTCGACGGTCATTCGATTGCTAAGCGTCAATCGCAAATCAATGCACAATACGATAATCTATTGGCACTGGCCCGTGAACGTCAGAATAAGTTGAATGAAACGACCAAAGCATATGTGTTGGTGCGTGAAGCTGCCGATTTAACCTCTTGGATTAAGGACAAAGAGAATCATGCGCACATCGGTGATGTTGGCGACGATTTGGAAGAGGTTGAGGTGTTGCAAAAGAAGTTCGACGATTTCAATGACGATTTGAAAGCGAACGAAGTGCGTTTGGCCAGCATGAATGAGATTGCCATTCAATTGACATCGTTGGGTCAAACAGAAGCGGCCATGAAAATTCAAACGCAAATGCAAGATTTGAACGAGAAATGGGCATCGTTGCAACAAATTACCGTTGAACGCGCCAATCAATTGGGTTCGGCCCATGAAGTGCAGCGTTTCCATCGTGACATTGACGAAACCAAGGATTGGATCAGCGAGAAAGAGGACGCACTCAACAATGATGATTTGGGCCGTGATTTGCGTAGCGTGCAAACATTGCAACGTAAACACGAAGGTGTTGAACGTGATTTGGCCGCATTGCGTGACAAAATCCGTCAGCTCGACGAAACCGCCAACCGTTTGATGCAATCGCATCCAGACACCGCCGAACAAACGTACACTAAGCAAAAGGAAATCAACGAAATGTGGAATCAAATCATCACCAAGGCCACATCACGCAAGGAACGTCTTTTGGACTCATATGACTTGCAACGCTTCTTGAGCGATTTCCGTGATTTAATGGCATGGATCAGCTCAATGATGGGACTCGTCACATCCGAAGAACTCGCCAACGATGTCACTGGCGCTGAAGCCTTGATTGAACGTCATCAGGTAGGTTCTTATGACTTTTTTCTGTTTCGATTGAAACATCTCTATCGATTGAGATTTAATGTTTCCAATTTTGTTTCTAATAGAAAGTTTCGAATTTGAAACACCATTTCTATATACATGTTTAGGTGACTTTGGCTATATGTTTTAGACTTGACTGAATTTAATTGCCATCCATTTGATCAGTCGGGTGTTTTGTTCTTGTCCCATTATAGTTTCTTTTCATGTCAAACTGTTCATTACCCATCAACTTATTTCTTTTTCTCTTCTTCTTTTCTCATTCCGTTCTTTTTCGTCCTCCGCGCGCGTCCACCTTATTTTCGTCGCTATTTGTTTGTCATCATCGTCCGATATACACATACACACATACATTTACACTCTAGAATCATCGTGCTGAAATCGATTACTTTTACGGCATTCCTCAGGTGTACTTGGTACATATCAATTTTCTTCATTATTTCCATTTTTTTTGATTTTCCATTTTTCCGTTCGCCATTTTAACGAGTGCTATTGCTGTGTTTGTACAAATTTAACGTGTTTTTTCTTTGGTTTTGTCGTTGGTAATTTTTTTTTTGGTTTCATTTTGGCTTTAATGAAATGTATTCTATGCCTCTGCCTTCGGAAAACACCATAGATTTTTAGTTTTCAAGAAAATGTTTCAAAGAGAGAAAATTATTTCATTGAAAGAAAAACATCTTTTTTTTTTATTTTATAGAAAAAAGTCCAAAATGTTTGCTTAAAATTGGTTTTTTGTGTATGAAAAAGAGAAGTTCAACGTTTTTTTTTGGACAAATCTGAAATTTTGTTTTATTAAAATTTTCTTTTTTCATTAGAAGTTTTTCCAATAGAAAAAAAAATCAAAATTTGTCGTCAAAAATATCAATTTCTCAAAAAAACCACCGTATTTTTTGTGTTGAATTTTGTGTTGTGTTTAGCAAATCATGCAGACTTTTTAAGTTTCTCGTGTCTTTTTTTTTCAAAAACAAGGTTTTTTTTTCGGTTATTAGGCAAAGTTGTCACACACAGTAAGCATGCAAGATAAAAAATTTTTTGCTTTGATCGTATTGTTGTCGTTGTTGTTGTTGTTGTTTCGAATTAACACATATCACCTTTTATTGAGATATGAATGGATACGAGTTCGGCGAGCTCAGATCGCTAATTAGTTTGAGTTTTATTTGTTAATGCGCTCAAAATTCTTGTTGCTCGAGATTCACTGCTTCACTCGACCATCTCATTGCTCAGTTCATATTTGTCACATTCTTCATGGAAATTAGCTTGAGGGTCTCAGGCCTTGGAAATCGCTAGTTCATATATAATTTCCTCTTATATATAACAAATCTGACCCTGCAAAGAAAAAAAGACTGATTTTTTTTTTTTTAAAAAGATCATCATTTTCGCTTCACATTAACAAATAGCGATTGATCACGGTTTTTTTTTTATTACATTTTTTTGAGTCTTTACAGTTTTGTTCCTAAAATCAAACCAAAGCTATGATTTGATATTTACAGTTTCTAAAAGAAAATTTCTAATGAAAAAAATAATTATAATCTAAAAAAATGGAGAAAAAAAAATTCAAAAAGTAAATTCGCTAGCAAAGAAGCGATTCTAACGTAGAATAAACTCAAGACACATATGCAGATGTGTCATTAGCTTGGAAAATATGGAACGGAATAATAAACTTTAAAAATTGCATAAATGCCGTGCGAATAAAATAGCTGAAACTAAACAAAGGCTCTGTTTATCTCTGTGTCTGTTTCAAAATTTGCCTAACAATGTAATTGATTTTGATGTGTTCGTATACAGCACGTTTCGTTGCACTTATAGCCCTACCTGTCCTACATTAGAATGAAACTAATTGATTTTTCTTTCTGCTCTCCCTTTCAAAACCGACACACACAAAAAACAGGAACATCGCACCGAGATCGATGCCCGTGCCGGAACATTTGCCGCATTCGAGCTCTTCGGTACCGAATTGTTGCAGGCCAATCACTATGCAGCGCCAGAAATCCAGGATAAAATCGAAGAGTTGGCAAAATCGCGTGAAGAATTGGAGAATGCATGGACGGAACGTCGATTGCAATTGGATCAAAATCTCGATTTGCAATTGTATTTGCGTGATTGTGAGCAGGCCGAAAATTGGATGTCAGCCCGTGAAGCATTTTTAAATGCCGAAGAGGTTGATTCAAAAGGCGACAACGTCGAAGCACTCATCAAAAAGCATGAAGATTTTGACAAAGCTATCAATGGTCATGAAGAAAAAATTGCCGCATTGCAAGTACTTGCTGATCAATTGATTGCACAAAATCATTATGCGGCCAATTTGATTGATGACAAACGTAAACAAGTGTTGGAACGTTGGCGTCATTTGAAAGATGGTCTGATTGAGAAGCGTTCACGATTGGGCGACGAACAAACGTTGCAACAATTCAGTCGTGACGCAGACGAAATCGAGAATTGGATTGCGGAGAAATTGCAATTGGCCACCGAAGAGAGTTACAAAGATCCGGCTAACATTCAATCAAAACACCAGAAGCATCAGGCATTCGAAGCCGAATTGGCCGCCAATGCGGATCGTATTCAAAGTGTATTGGCCATGGGCGGTAATTTGATTGATAAACGTCAATGTAGCGGCAGTGAAGATGCGGTACAGAAGCGTTTATCACAAATTGCCGATCAATGGGAGTACTTGACGCACAAAACGACGGAGAAATCGTTGAAATTGAAAGAGGCTAATAAGCAACGCACTTACATTGCGGCCGTTAAGGATTTGGACTTTTGGTTGGGTGAAGTTGAGAGTTTGTTGACATCAGAGGATGCAGGCAAAGATTTGGCATCGGTACAAAATCTCATGAAGAAACATCAACTCGTTGAGGCTGACATTCAAGCCCATGCCGATCGCATTAAGGACATGAACAACCAAGCCGATTCATTGGTTGAATCCGGCCAATTCGATAGTGCTGGCATTCAAGAGAAGCGTCAATCGATCAACGAACGCTACGAACGTATTTGCAATTTGGCCGCACACCGTCAGGCTCGTTTGAACGAAGCCCTTACTCTGCATCAATTCTTCCGCGATATTGCCGACGAAGAGAGCTGGATCAAGGAAAAGAAATTGTTGGTGGGCAGCGACGATTATGGCCGTGATTTGACTGGTGTTCAAAATTTGAAGAAGAAACACAAACGTTTGGAGGCTGAACTTGGCTCACACGAGCCAGCCATTCAGGCTGTTCAAGAAGCTGGCGAAAAATTGATGGATGTCAGCAATTTGGGTGTACCAGAGATTGAACAACGTTTGAAAGCATTGAACCAAGCATGGGCTGAATTGAAGAATTTGGCCGCTACACGCGGACAAAAACTTGACGAATCGTTGACGTATCAACAATTTTTGGCACAAGTTGAAGAGGAAGAAGCATGGATCACCGAGAAACAACAATTGCTTTCGGTTCAAGATTATGGCGATTCAATGGCAGCCGTACAAGGATTGCTCAAGAAGCATGATGCATTCGAAACTGATTTTGCCGCTCATCGTGATCGCTGTTCGTTGATTTGCGATCAAGGCTCTCAATTGGTGGCCAACAAGAACCATCACCAAGATAGCATCTCGCAACGTTGCAATCAATTGCAAAATAAATTGGATCTTTTGTCATCGTTGGCCTCACGTCGCAAGGGCGCTTTGTTGGACAACTCCGCCTATTTGCAATTCATGTGGAAGGCCGATGTAGTCGAAAGCTGGATTGCCGACAAGGAGAGCTATGTACGATCGGAAGAGTTCGGTCGCGATTTGTCCACCGTTCAAACGCTACTCACCAAGCAAGAGACATTCGATGCAGGTATGTTTTTGCCAGAAAGACATTCGTTGTAGACGCGTTTTTTTTTTGGATTTTTTTTAGCTCAGTTTTTGGTTTTTGAACTTTTTTTTTTATTTTTCAAAAAATGTCATCTTATCTCTTTGATATACATAAAAATTCGCACTGTTTTGCTCCATTATTCTCAATTTTTACTTATATACGAGTTTGAGGTCATAAAAATCCTAGTGAAAATCACTCATTTGAAGAAAAAAAAATCGACTATCCTTTACGAACGCATCGAAAATAATCATTTCTGTTGTATCTTCCCACATAGGTCTTAACGCATTTGAACAAGAGGGCATCCACAACATTTCCGCATTGAAAGATCAACTGATCAATGCAAATCACGCTCAATCGCCGGCCATCTTGAAGCGTCATGAGGATGTGATTGAACGTTGGCAAAAGTTGCGTAATGCATCGACCGAACGCAAGAACCGGTTGATTTCCATGCAAGATCAATTCCGTCAAATCGAAGAATTATATTTGACTTTCGCAAAGAAAGCATCTGCATTCAATTCATGGTTTGAAAATGCCGAAGAAGATTTGACCGATCCAGTTCGGTAAGTGAATGGTTTTTTTTTTGTATATCGATGTTGTGTTACCTCCAATTCAACCCAACTCAAGTTTTTCTTCCCAGTTCAATTCGATTCGATTGAGTTTTATCATCAATTCTCGATTATATTGAGATTCGTAGGGTTTTTCTTCGATTATATGGTTAACCACCATTACCATATTTCTTTAGTTCAATTCACAAAAATGGTTGAATCCTCAATAAATTTCTTTGATTGAATCCTTAAACTAATTTTGTCACATTTTTGTCTCATTTCCAAACAATAGGTGCAATTCGATCGAAGAAATTCGTGCATTGCGTGAAGCGCACGCTCAATTCCAGGCCTCTTTGTCATCAGCCGAGGCTGATTTCAAAGCATTGGCTGCACTTGATCAAAAAATCAAGAGTTTCAACGTTGGACCAAATCCATACACATGGTTCACAATGGAGGCGCTCGAAGACACATGGCGTAATTTGCAGAAGATTATCGAAGAGCGTGACGTTGAACTGAACAAAGAGGCGCATCGTCAAGATGAAAATGACAAGCTTCGTAAAGAATTCGCTAAGCACGCCAATTTGTTCCATCAATGGTTGACCGAAACAAGGTATGTATTGTCCGATATTGAGCAAAATAGAAGAGAATATTGGCCAAAACCACAATTGAAACGTTTCACAAAAAAAAAAAAACAAACAAAACCAAAAAAACAAAACCTTTTTTCCCCATTTTTCCTTTTGTTTTTGAAACACATGTATTAAAACTTAAAATCATCTCGATTAAAACAGATTTTACATTCTGGGCTGGAATGTCGAAGGGTAAATAGTTGTGGTGACACAGATTTCAAAAATTTCAATATTTGTGCAACATAACAATCAGCAGCAAGTCAAATTTTTTTTCGAAAGCAAATCTCTTTACCTTCTGGTTCGCGGCTCTCGTTGTAATTTGTTGTTTGCGCAACGAGATAAGACCAGCTGGGTGCTTAAAAATTTGTGCATTTTTACTCTAAAACAAATTCAACCACTCTCTGGCACTTTAAGGGCACAAAACAATTTTGTTGCCGTTTATTTCGCTTTAGCCATTAACCAAAAAAAAAAAACAAATGCCTAACCAATGCAAAAGAAGCGCATTGTTGTGAATTACACATTTTTCGCTTGGAATCTGGGGAATATCAATGTTAACATGTTGTGATTGTTATTTTTCGCAGAACATCAATGATGGAGGGATCCGGATCGTTGGAGCAACAATTGGAGGCGCTTCGTTTGAAGGCAGCTGAAGTACGTGCTCGTCGCGGTGACTTGAAAAAGATTGAAGAGTTGGGCGCATTATTGGAAGAGCATTTAATTTTGGATAATCGTTATACCGAACACTCAACGGTTGGCCTCGCCCAACAATGGGATCAATTGGATCAACTGTCAATGCGTATGCAACACAATCTCGAACAACAAATTCAAGCCCGTAACCATTCAGGCGTGTCGGAAGATTCGCTCAAAGAATTCTCAATGATGTTCAAGCACTTTGACAAAGACAAGAGTGGCAAACTCAATCATCAAGAATTCAAATCCTGTCTACGAGCCCTCGGCTACGATTTACCAATGGTGGAAGAAGGACAACCTGACCCCGAATTCGAAGCCATCCTCAGTGTCGTCGATCCGAATCGTGATGGTTATGTATCGCTCCAAGAATATATCGCCTTCATGATATCGAAAGAAACGGAAAATGTGCAAAGCTACGAGGAAATCGAAAATGCATTCAGAGCCATCACTGCCTCCGATCGTCCATATGTCACAAGGGACGAATTGTATTGCGTAAGTATCGATTCGTTTTTTTGGAGGGGAGAGGAAGTCATCAATTTTCTAGAAAAAAAAAATCAATTTTTTACTGTCGTCACGAAACTTTCGTCTATTTTTCCACATTTCTTTTTTCTTTCGTCTTTTTTTTCAAGGCTAATTTGGCTCCAATTCAAATTTTAAAATCATCACTATCAATTTTATCAAAAACAATTTTTTTTCCTCTTACAGAACCTCACCCGGGACATGGCCGATTACTGTACCAACCGTATGAAACCATATATCGATCCCAAAACCGGCCAGCCCATCAACGGTGCCCTGGACTATATCGATTTTACACGCACGCTATTTCAAAATTAAGCAGTTTTAGATTTCAATACTATATACACAAAAACACACATACAAAACATTATTATTGTAATGGGTTAGATTTATATTTAGTGTTTGTTTGAGCTTTCCGTTTTTTTGTTGTGTCTTTCAATGAGAACAATTTAGAAAATGATGAAAAATGATGAGGAAAAAAAATTCAAATAAAAATCCGGTAAATTTTCCAATATTTTTATTATGATATGGCACATGCTTACACTAAATTGCGTATGTATGCACGCTTTTTCAAGACACTCTAAAATGAAAAAAAAACAGCAAGTGCAAAAAATTCGCCAGCTCCTCTCGCATAAATTGAACTTGCTTATTATGATAATAATAATAAAATATATTCATTTATTCGAAAAATAAAAACAAGAGAATTGCTTTTTTTATTCGTTCACTGGAACGTGAAAAGTGTATTTTCGACTTTGAAAATGGAACAAGAAAAACCATTTTCAAACCATGAATTAACTTTGATCAACTCCAGGCAAAGAAGGCTTTAAGATCTGGTTTTTTTTCAGTCTAGATTTTTTTTTGCACAGTTCAGAGTATTTCTAGCTTCGAAAATCTCATCACGACGCTTCCTTTAGGTGTGATGTCCATTGATATTCTCATTTCCAGATGAAGTAAATGTTCCAGCAAGATTGGGCTAAGAGGGTCATATGAGAAGAGAATTATCATTGTTTATAGCCGAACTCAAGAAAGTTTATTTTAAATTAAATGACAAATGTGCATTGAACACAGCACACAATTGAATTATTTATTATTTCTAGAAGAAAAAAAAAATCAAAAAATATTGAGGAAATATAACAAAAGTTTTTTATTAAAAATTTGGAGAAAAAAAATTTAAAATACAAAAAATATGACAAAAATTGGAAGCAGAAGGGCTTAGTGCTGCGATTTTATCAGATTCAATAAAACCACTAGAAAAAATTTCCTAACATTTTTGTAATAAAAGTCATGAATATCCGAAGTCAAGGGGCTGAGCATAGACTTGTGTTATCAAACGACTTGAAAATGAATTTTGAGAATATTTTAATCGATCGCTTCTTGGAAAATGGCGTCATTGTTGCAAAATACGAAGAAAAAAAAGATTCTCACGTAGCGACGATAGATGGCTTGATGAAAGCGATTAAAAATGATTAATAATCATTGATTATTGACGAAGAAAGGCGTTTTTTTTGTTAGCAATTCAATGAATGCGTATAATGTGGCAAATTATTACGATCCACCTACGCCAGATGGTGAGTTCAACTCCAATATATTAATAGATCAAATCTGGCTAATCGTGGTGAACTTATTGTCCATTTCTAATACTTTCAATGCATCCCAATTCAATACAACACTTTCAATACACACCAGTCAAACTCTCGATCTATAATGACATATGATTAGATTGGCATTGTTTTTATTGCAGATAATTGGTGTGTAAATCAAATTGGACTGAATGGTTTACGATCATCATAAAACAGCGATAATATTCCTGTTAATTGCGTGCACTTATAAAGATCCAACACACAAGCTTCGTTCATTAGTTAAGATTTTATTCTTCAATTTGCTGTTCTTCGATTCGTTTCGTCAAAGTATTAAATTTGCTTTCTTCGTGACTTTTTGTTGTTACTTTTTCTGGGGTTTCTTCGTTGTTCTGATTTTAATACAAATAAATAAAGAATCAGTTCGAGTTCATTCATTTCTCAGTGGAAAAATGTCTGAATCCATAAAATCGTACATGAGAGAAATAGCTAATCGTGAATATTTTGTGGACTATGTCATCGAAACGAAGTCTGGATCAAATGAAGGTGATAATTTTGTGGGTGTTTTGATGGCGATCACAATAATTGGTACCAAGCAACCAAATCCGTTGCATAAAGAAGAATTGCATTTGATATGCAAAGCACCGCCGTCGGAAGAGATACTAAAAGGAAGTCCACAGCTGATGACGTTCAACCGTGAGATTTATGTTTATTCAACATTGTTACCAGCCTTCGTTCAATTCCAACAAGAGAAAGGGAAAGAAAAGCGAACGTACATTCTGATTATGGAAGATTTGAGAGCGAAAAACTATGAAATGTGGCCCAAAGACAAATGATCGGCCTCGATCAACAGCTACTTGTTATGCAAGAGTTGAGTAAATTCCACGCCGTTTCATTTGCCATCATCAAAAAATCAACGGCCACATGAATTCAAAGAATTCAAACGATTAAGTGATGCAGAATTTCAACTTGAATTAAAAGACCAAGTGGGGTCATTCATCAGGGCAAACGTTGAAATGACAACCGAAACACTGCTAAATCCACAGCACAAAAAATTGATGCAAAAATTCCAGACCACCTACGAAAACATGGTTGCAGATTACTTATTAGGACCGTCAAGCGATGACTTTGCCATTGTTACGCACAGCGACTGCTGGACCAACAACATTCTCTTTCAGTATGATGATGTGAGTTTTGGTTTAACGGATTCATAGCGGAGCAAAGCCGTTCGAGTGCTTGATTTGTTTCAAATCTTTTGCAAACAGCTATGATCTTCAAAGACATTCAATGACACATGTCGATGGACCGTCAAATGCTTGTACCAAATGTGGCCGACGATTTGCCACACCAGGTGATAAGAAAACACACGAAACGCACTGCCAACGAAGTGTTTTTTTATGTAGTCAGTGTCGTTACAAAACTGTTCACAAACATCATTTGAAGCGGCAAGTAATCAAAGCACGGAGCAAAACGATCAATCGAATGTGGAATTTGCAGCAAACAATTCGTCGAACAGATCAGTTTAAATCATCATTTGTCATCAGCACACAGCGACCAATTCCCATTCCGATGCTTCAAATACTTCGGAGGATACGCAACCGAAGATGCAAAAGAGGTTCATGAACATAGTTGTGGCTTTCGTCGGTATCAGTGCGATTTGTGCAAAACGTATCACCGAGACAAACATATGTTGAAGATTCACATGCGAAAAGATCAAACCGGAGAGCGGATTCAATGCAACGTATGTGCAGCAAGCTTTTCCATGAAATGTAATGCCAAACGACACATGAAAGCAGTTCATCGTTTGAGGAAAAAATAAGCCTCATCTCATAGATTTATTAAAACGCAGTTAACTTTGAAATCAGTATTTCATGATTCTCACAAATAGACAGCTCATTACACATAAAAGACATCCACATCAAGAATTTAAATCGAATTACCGAGCATGCATCCGAAATTGAAATAATTTAATATCTAATACTTTCCAGCATAAAAATTCATCTTTTTAGATTTAAGCTTCCATTTCGAACGAAACAGAACAGAAATAAAAAGAAAGAGAGGAAGAAGAATGTTTCGTTTTATTTCTGGGTTTATTTTGCAGCAATTTCCTTGGTCAGAGAAAGAAACAAATGTTTTTGGAAAATGCGTTATCTAGGCAAAATCAAATCTGCACTGTAAACCAAGTTGGTTTGTTCTTATCATTAAATTTCAGCTTCAAAGTATGTCGTTCATAATTATAATAATGATCCAAATATTTGATTTGAATTGATTTCACTTGTCCATTTAATCAATCACTTGCCAACACTTCGGAAAATGTCGCACTCCAGACTCCAGATATTTTCGATTACAAATAAAAACATGTTCTTCTAATGCGACTCTTCTTCAGTCCCCATGGATTGGACAACAAAGTAGATAAACGAATGAATGACTTTGAGCAGTTCTGTGCTGCTTCAGTTGATCTAACAAGCCTTAAAGAATTCAATCCACATCCTTTTCCCTCATAAAAGCATAATCAATTCAATTTCGTCAGCTGCAATTCATTTTGGTTGATAGGAAAGTGCTTGACCAAAATGGGAAAATGTTTGACAAAAATCAGAAAATGTTTGACGAAAATCGGAAAATGTTTGACCAAAAACCGGAAAATGTTTGACGAAAATCGGAAAATGCTTGACCAAAGTGGTGGAAAATTGTCTGACCGAAATGGGAAAATGTTCGACGAAAATGGGAAAATGTTTGACGAAAATCGGAAAATGTTTGACGAACCAAATTTTATTCAAAAAAATGGAAAAACAACACATTTAGGATATGAAAATGTAGGTCTGGACCCATTCAAGGCATCTTGTGTTTGCTAGTTTTAAAATAAAAATAACTGGAATTTTTTATTCGCATATTGCGAATTGGTCTATATTGCATTCACAATTTTAGAGAATCAACTTCGAAATGAATATGTGTAAATCGCTATCTCAGTTTGGCGTTAGAGTAATGACGTGGCATAGTGTGAGGTGTTTTCAAGCAAACGGTTTCGTGGTTCATATCACAATCGAATCCGATGGAGAACGAAAGTTCCCGACGATTCGATGACTGAAAGCAATTTCAGCATGGAAAAAACACGCTGTTCTAACGAACACAGTGTAAAAAATGGCCATACAATCTCTAAAATTGTGAATAAAAATAACTGTAATTTATCACAGGTTTTAGATAATTTAACTTGAAAAATATTCATAGTTCACAATATTTCAATATGGCATTCGTTTGAATACTTGAGTAAATCTAAGGAAAATATTGAGCATTTCAATATGAACTTTACCGCTGAACGAGAATGTACTATGAAATTTATTATGTATATTAATAGATGTTAACCAAAGAATATTTTTTTAAAATTATATAGTACAATGTATTGTAGTTCGTTGGATGGGAGGAGGAGAATTATGATTAATTTTATTATTTATGTTGTGAGAGAGGTAGGCGGATTTTATCCTGCGCGCGTAGCGCGCGGAAACCCAGCC